TAATAGAGGGAGAGAGAGAGAGAGAGAGAGAGAGAAAAATGTAACTTATGACATAATTCTAATGTCTAATTATGGCGATATATCCGCACGTTCTGCCTTGATAGCGCACACGGAATATCGTGTTCGCGATTAGCATGCATATTACATTTCGTTGATTTCAACTGCCGCTTCAAACAATAACGTCAGCGAAATTCCCGCATGTCGACCCTTAGGCTAACCCGACGGAAAAAAAAGAACGAATTTAAATGCGAATTAATTTCTTTTCCATGCGCGAGCGTTGTTTTTTGCTCTTTGCAAAAGCGCGCTGTTGAAAATCGCGGTTGACAAGCTTGCGCGCGGCAGATTTCGATCATTTTCGCAAATCGGCAGGTGACAAATAGGCGATCGAGCAGCGCGAGCACGTTCGAATGACGATGATAGCCGGGGCACAATTAATGGGAGTCCTTGCGGATGATATTCGCGCTCGTGTGTAACTCGCGCGCGCGTACGTTACACTCGAAAATATATGGCGGAATGCGAATCGCGCGCGCGACAACGCATCCACGTATTCGTGACGTATGAGTATACGTATCGCAGAAAAATATTGCCACCACGTTTAGCTTACGGATCTTTCCGTCGCTTAATTTCCAACCAACGTTGACGCACATTTTCACAATCCGCCTCTATATTAACGCTTATCTGTCAGATTTGAAATGTGATTTCATTTCATTTATTGTTTTATTCAAGTGCTGCACCATAATTCGCATTTCTGTTTAATGTCAACTTTGTTTCACATATCCATCAGTAATGACATAAATCATCCAAGTATGGGATTTAATTAATTATACAGATGATTCACGTAGAATAATATTTCATTAGTCTCTCTGTACAAGAATCTCTATATATGATTGGAAAGCAGTATAAAAGCTTGTATTTTTAATTTTTGCAATATTACAATTATTGATGCGCAATAATCTGGTGAAATTAAAAATCTTCGTTTTTCTGCCACGATATGTTTCAATTCTTTCGTATTTTCTAATACTTGTCTCGATTTACTAGCTTTTTTATTATTTATTGATATACTCGTAGATCGTAAAGAAACGAGGAAATCACGTTTCAATGAATCGTTTTATTTATTTAACCGAATCATTGCTATGTACTAGAGACGAGGAACAAATTTATATAAGAGCTACTCTTGTACTACTTGAAATGACTAGTTCATAATACTTTTGAGAGAACAGATATTGTGTGTACCGTACACACTCGCATCCAGATACGCGTGACGGATAGACCAGAGCTACCTGATTCTCCATATGTAGAGAGACTCAACACATGTTTAAGAAGCATGTCACAGAGAATACTAGCAATTGCAAATGACAGGTAGCATGCACGTAGCAATTATATTAAATAAGAAGATAAAAACTGTTAAAAAAGTTTTATGCACTGTGGCAGAAAACTTCGTTTGAAAGATCGACAATATCGTACTACGTTTTGTCCGTGAATACGATTTCGCTGACAGACTTTCACGGATAATTACAAAGTACAAAATGGAAATTACAATGTCCAATTCAAGTTGCGTAAAAAAATAAAAAAAAGATTAGCACATCACGCGAGCGCATTGCAAACGTGATTTTATACATATATTCTGATGTACAAATAAAAAAATATTCGAATATTTTTCTTGTATATGTCATAGAAATATATGTCGTAGAAATTCTAACTTATATAAACAGCTTATATAACAGCAGTTATACAGTTGTGAAATAGTTTCGGTTGACTAAAGTCCTGGAGCTCCTAATAATTGGATCAAATTATTAAAGGGAGGAACATTTGTACGGAACTACTTGATTCCTGTTGAAAGCTCATTCAATGTCTCAACAAGCACTGATCTGCACATCACTAGAATTACCATAACGCCATACTCCGGGTAAATGGCGGCATGTCCGACAGAGAATTACGTGACTCACTATTGCATTCTACAAGACGTCATATATGCAGAATATGTAAAATACCCTCTTATCAAACATGCAGCACACAACAAAGTTTAGAAAGCGTTTAATTTCACGATACTCTTTTATATTGTATAATCTGTTTATCTACACGAGTATGCTTGCGATGCGAAGGCTATGTATAACACTTCACAAATATTAGCATAAATGTAGAGATAATTTTAAACATAATCCAACTTATAGCCTACTTTGCCATATTCATATTCTTCTGAACGGTACGGCGCGAGTAACTTTGAAAGTGGAATATATTTACATACTTAAGAGCATACTTAAGAGCACCCTGTTTCTCTGTTTATTTCGAAAGACTGTCATATATGCGTCAAGCGTACACACACAAAGGATTTAATAAATCTGTAATTGATTTAATCCGGTTTTCATTCAAAGAATTTATTAACTTTATAACGTTTTCTCTAATATAATTGATTTTGTAAGATACACACGGTATAAATAAGTCTTGTTAGAGAAACAGAATTCTTTCCCTTATTCAGTGCCATGAATGTAAGAGGATTTGTGCGCACGAAAGGATATAAATGTAGAAACAGAATCATGGAAGTGTGTATCATGGTTGTGGAATCTGCGTTTTGCTAAAGCGTGTCTTAGAACGGTAATGTATCACACGAAATCGAACTAGAGCAGAACACGAGCAGTCGAAACCTTCCAAAGCATAGCGGTGCAGCTTCGCTAGTGAAAGGCGGAGCGTTCCGGAATGAACAGAACTTGAGCACTTTGCAGTGATTTGGCGATGTAAAGGATGCGATTTACAAGCTCAATCAGCTTCTAAAAGATTATGGATAAAAGGGAAGCTTTAGCTTAGTTCAAAACTCTACTTAATTAGCAAAGATTATGCTATAATTAAAATATATATCATAAAAACCCTAAACAATTTTATGATCATAATTGCGGCCTTATACAGTTTATCGCATACTTACTTAAAGCAAAAGCTTATTTAGATTGAATTTTACACAGCCAGAAAAGCTCTAATTATTTTTTATTATTATAACTAATTATATAATTTTAGACTAATTACACGAATATAATAAAAGTAACAATTCAATAAAAAATATTTTCATAAGTTTTATTACTATCCAGAATTTTGAGTAAAATAAATAAAAAAGTGCATTAAAAAGAGATATTCAACTCTCGTTTGCTACACAAGATTCAATATTAACGGCGAAAAGCTTTAGTATTCACTAGAGTCGAACTTTCTGAATAACACAGTCGTGCTTTTCGTCTTGATTACTTTTGAAAGTAATAAAAGCCCTAAGTCGTTCAGTAATTCAATTCCTAAATGATTTATTAATATGCCATTAAATTTCCAAAAAGTGCACTTTAACACATAAGATTTTATTTATACGCGCACTTCGAAAGTCATATTCGAGTTCTCTCCATTTTGTATAACTAATACTCGAAAACCAATTCGATCGTTTAATATATTGCTGAAAGTTTGATATTAGATATAAGCAAATAAAGATCGATAAAATAAGAAAAAAGTGAAGATAATAGTCAAACATATACAAGTTGAAACCTAAGTACATAAGTAACCAAATACATAACGTTTATAAATGTTCAAGTGGTAGAAATTATATTGATCGCGTTATATGTATGCATTCAATTAATTTCATTGTCATTTTTTTTTTTTTTTTATCAATAGTTGAGATGAAAAGAATGCATATGAAATCATACAATGCGGCAATGCGACAGCAATTCTTTCTAATCAATACACCATTTTAGTTAGTTATAAAACGCTCGACTACTTTCGTCCTAGAGGGTAGTAACATCCTCGCGAGTTGAGGGCAAAGTATTTCGAAACGATCAAGCGCGGATCCCCAACGAAGCTTATCACAGTAATGAAGGTGCAGCTATCAAGGCATAACGGTGTAACGAGAAGTTTGACTGACGCGAGACAGACAGCTAAATACGCTGTTCAAGTTGAAAAATTAGCGCGAATCGTGAACTGAGCAACGTAAATGCATATTACGAGGAATTAAAATTAACTGCTTTGGCATAATTTTTGATCTTACATATTTATATCTTACAGACTTATTAATAAATAAATTTATATTATTTATATCAAATAAATTTAGTGTCACAATACATATATGTATATTAGTAAAAATGTGAATCTATTTGATATTTTTTGTTTTTTATTTAAAACCCGTGATAAATCAACCATTGATAAAAAGTGAAAAATTTATCTCATTATGCAGCGAACTTCGTCTTTTAATCTGAAATCCAATTCTCGTACCGCGACAGATACACAAATCTTCCAATGCAATTTAAGAAATAAGAAATCAAGCCACTTTAATATTTCAATCAAATCTCTTCTATTAAAACTTTTCCATAAAAATCTTATGCTTTGTTATACAATTGTTTTGTTAAATCTAATATCTTAAATTTAAAAAAAATATATATTTATTTTATTTTAAAAGGAAAGATAATTATAGATAATATTTAAGAGTGCATATTTTACTAGATTTGAAATAAACTTCAAAAGAGGAGTATATTTATTGACAAATTTACGATCTTTCCTTTGCGAGAACTTAAATCGCGTGCCTGAACCGTATTTACGGAATTATCTAACATTAATTTAATTAAACATCTTTTATATAGAACGCGACCTAAGATTAAAGAATACAAATAAGTAAAAAAATATATAATTAATAAATAATTTATTGATTAGAAATATATATACCTTATCTATAAAAAATTAAAAATCAAGACTTAATTATCGAGAACGTTTTTTAACGCTAAAATCTCAATAACGTGAAGGAACGACGTCCAATCTATTTAGTTATCTTTCGCTGAAAAATCATCCGCCCGTTCACCGAAGGATACGTATCTGAAATGATGCAAAATTTTTCGGAACACCCGGTGTACATAATAAGAACAAATTTCATCGCGGATTCATAAGCACTCGGCTGCTAAGCATCGCTAAGAAAGGTCACTTGACACTTAGGCAACCGGCACGCTCGCTGCCATCTAGTCAGCCGCCCCGCCAGGCGCCCCATTCAGGCAGTAGGGAGAGTCAGGAACGGGCCAGACGAACAAGCAGGCGCCAGTCTACCGTGGGCGCACGTCGTGGCACCACGTGTGTTCCGATTCAATGTTTTCATACGGTATAATCACGTTCAAGCTTTTTTTACTCTGATTATACGCAGTCTCAGCGATACGCGATGATCATTTCAGTGATTATTTACCATATGTGATCGGACCGAAAGCGCGAGAGAAGTGGTGACGGACGTTTACTCTGAGTCAGTAGTAGTGTGTGTGATACAGTGCGTCGAGCAACACGGAGGGATCTATCGATGATCTATGATTGCATAAGCATGAGGTAACGTCCGTTCCGAGTGATTCGTATCTACGTGATATTATGTGATTTTGATTTTGATTTATTGCTTATTCGAGTCTTTTGATGACGTTCACAAAGACGGCGCTCCACGATTTTCGCGAGTTTCGCTCTCACCGCATATCGCAGTTTATTCCGACACGGCGTCACGAATGTGCGTTACGAATCGATGATCAATGTTTGACGCAACGAGCTTTGGAACAAAGTCGGCCGCGTACCTCGTGCGTCGAGTTAACGCGAATCGAGTGTGTCGTGTATGGCAGATATTATTTTTCATGATCCCGCACGCAGATAGGTTACGCCAGTTTTTCCTTTGCAGCACGCATGAAAAATGGAAAACGTCATTAAATAATGCATATCGCTTCGCGAATCGGCAAAGTTAAATTTGATATCCCAGAAAGAGTATTATAATGTTCTAATGATATCTTTGAGATAATGTGATCATTTAAAAGCCCCTTTTCCAGTGTTTTGTTTAGCATAACGTGAAATACTCAGAACAATGTTTTTGCTAATGTTACATCAGTTTTCCTTACATTTCTATATCTAATTATAAAAATATGAGAAAAATAAAAGCACTTTTTTTTATCCATAAACAAATTGTTTCACGTTCTTTTTTTGCTTGGAATCGTAGAAGATTTTAACAAGTCATTTTTATAATACCAACAATAATTAAGACTTCTGGGAAAATTAAAAAAGGAGGTAAAAAAGAGATTATTTTATTTTTTTTTGCGTCCGAGATAGACCAACATTTCCATCCGTAAAAATGAAAATTTTTAAAGACAAACATTTTTTAAAGACGTGGTCTTGGTTGATTCTTAAGATTAAATCTGACAGTTTCGCACAGAATTACATTACGATTGGATTAAATTTAAAATGCGCGGCAGATATTAAATAATTCTCTCTAACTTAACAAATTGCGTCACTAGTCGTTAAGCCGAGATGGCAGAAAGACTTTTTCATTCAGCTATTGTTGATGTTTAAAATTTGATATTTGCAATGCATATCATTTTTATTAATCACGAATTGAATAAAATCAATTGAATATATCATTGAATATCATTGAATATATCATATAATCATTGAATATATCAATCGTCTCTTTTAATATAATCATACAATAAAGATACTATTTCCGAAATTATATTAAACACATCTGTATTATATTAAGTCCATATTGCTTTAACATTTAATATGATTGGTATTTTTCCATGCATTATATAGCATGATTTGATAAATAGCTTTTCATATATATTATAGTTTGAATTGATTAATCATCTTCTCTCATATATATTACAGTTTAAAAACTTAATTAATTAAAGTTTTCATTTAAATCTATAATTAAATTGTAATTAAATCGTAATTAAATCATTTAGCAAATTTCCGTATTTTTGGAAATTTCATATTTTTTCCAAAACGTTGAGAGATTCGACATAATTCCAAATGCTAATTATATGTAACCATAGACATAAATTTCTTTGGTTTATTTCTGTTTCGATTTAAGATGATTATGATTTGTATTTGAAAGTATCCGCTTTCATTCCACGACGTAATTTGAGATGACGAAGATGTTCCTATATGTCATAATAACTATAATTTTAAAGGATTTGCATGCCGATATCGCACCGTTTCCTCGAATTCAAATACTGAGAGAAATAGCAGAAGCCCACATTTCTACCTTTAATGTTCACCATAAATTGTCGCGCAACTCCCACTTTTTCATCATTCTAGTCGGAGATGGTCCAAGCGCTATTACATCTATATTCGGGTTTAAATTCGAGAATGCGAACACAATTCGGGCTATATGCATAAATATGCTTTCAAAACTTGGTAGGATTATTTGAAATTTAAACAGTATGTGGATTTTGAGTTTCGTATCCTCCTGCCCGTAGATTAAACAGAAGAGCCAAATTAGTTTGAATCCCCATGAGGTTACTTCTGGCTCGTTATTATACTGACCGAGGCAATCCCAAATACAGGTATTCAAATACGTGCGTGACTTTCGATTTGGGCGTTCTGTACGCGTGGCACCGCACACAATGCACGAGGCGTGCTATTAACAGTATTTGTCCTGGACAATTGGCTAGCAAGCGATATTATCGAGAACATCCTTGCACGAGCATTTAGTCAAATACTCGTCGGAAGGATAATAGCTATATGGAGAAATTGTAATCGGATATTAATAGCCAATCAGTCTTCCTTCATTTCTTCCTAAGCGTCTATTTCTCTCGCGATCCATCATTCGGCGTGACAAAACGAAGTTACGTAACAAAGCCAGCGTGGCAAAACTTTGCGCTCAACTCGAAATCACGACTCGATTTGCCTAACAAAGATATGCGTACAATAACAACGCGCTGTTTTTAGTAAGAAAGAAAGCGAAACTTAAATCTCTTTAGATTCTATTTTAATTACGTCATTGCGATATTTTTCCCGTCAAGGAAATGAGAACAAAAGAAGCCGCCGGAAATCTTCTAGTGCTTCAGCCAAGTCAGCTTTCATTACTACTGATATTAATTTGATCGTTATTTACAGCGCGGTAAAACTAAAGATTGATTACGGAAAGGTTATTAATATCAATTTATGAGAGAAAAGAAATTTATTATATGGAATACCGAGTTGCGATACCTCTGCACGTTATAGGAAAAATATAACACAGTTAAACTGTTCCATTTCATATAACGCGCACGGGGATTTCGTTTATATTTATTTTCGAAGTATTTTTTGCGAATTTTTTTTGATCGCCAAAAATATTTTCCTTGCCTTTATGGTACAAAACTACTGGTAAGCTAATATAGAAAGAAATATGACACAAAAATAAATACATGGACGTATGTAGGTTACGTATATATAATAAAACTATTCGAGATAATAAATGACACAGAACGGATTCCTTAATTGTCGCAAATTGAAAAAATTCTAAATAATTTTTGCAGGAATAGCGATTGAGAATTCGGCATTACGATACAATCAAATTCTAGAGAAATACTCTTGCTGTAGGGCATGCCAGAATCCAGGAAACAAACGCGAACTTACAATTAGTTACGTTAGAACCGCGTGCAAGACATGTCAAACAATTTAGCTGCGACTGCAAAGCTGTACTCTATATGCATAGATCTATATGCATAGATCTTAGTAACTCTAGTCAAATTGCAAAGCAACAAAAAACGGATGTAACAAAGAGAAGACAGTGCCTTTAACTGTTGAAAACGAGATAACTAGACCAAAACGTACGGAAATGCTCTATGATTCTATAAATCAGCGCGTATCTACTATTATAAAGTTTCTCAAACCGTATATTTCTATACGCGGAACGTTTCCGAATCATTGAATGTGCTTCCAGCCGCAGATTTGATTTTAAACCCTCCCGAGAATAGATCCTTGCTACCGACTCGTGCTCTTCTTGAACATCCTTTGTAGTAGATGTATGAGCAACTGCTCATGAAAATGCATAATCTTGACGACG